AGGTGATCACATCACATTGCATTATGGAGATGATTACATCACATGACATGGGATGGCACTGCATTATGGAAGAGCACCCAGTCCATTGTCTGCCAAACCCCTGAGAAGCTTAGCTAGCCAGTTGGCACAGAATATGAATGAACCATCCCAGTCTCCAGAGATGACAGGGTTCTTTTGTTCCAGGACTCCCAACATTGACCGGCTGGCCCGAGGGGGCGTGAAGCTCACCCAACACTTGGCTGCATCGCCCCTGTGCACGCCGAGTCGGGCAGCCTTCATGACTGGCCGGTACCCCGTCCGATCAGGTAATGCCATCACCCTCGCAGCCACGCCACTGTCCTCCTCCTCGGGACAACCGCTTGCATTCCCTGCCTTAATGCTGGTTTTTCCTGCTGCAGGAATGGCGTCCCGGTCCCGAATTGGGGTGTTCATCTTCACCGCCTCCTCTGGAGGGCTGCCCACCAGCGAGCTCACGTTCGCCAGGCTGTTGAAGAACCAGGGCTATGCGACAGCTCTGATCGGTATGCGCCGATGATGGGAGGCAGGAGGGGACCAGGCCCATGAGCGGGAATTTGGGAGGGGACAGTGCAGCAGCCTGCTGAGGGGTGGCGGGCCCGGCACGGTGTGTGCTGCCCAGTGTTACAGAGAGGAGAAATGACTTCACTTCCAAGTGAAAGATGGAGGAGTCTATCCGGGGTATTTGAATGTACAGATATGTGCATTTATACATGTGCAGGTAAGTGTGTGCAGACAGATGACTGATGATAGATAAGAGGGATATAGAGGAGATAGATAAATGGACGAGTCAGATGGTAGATATAGAAATCCAAACCCAACTTTCTGCCATCATGTCACTTTTGACTCATAGTGGCCCCTCATTGGGTTTCCAAGGTGGTAAATCTTTATGAAAACAGACTGCTTCATCTTTCGTGCATGACAGATAGAGAGATGATAGATAGAGAGGTGAATGGAATGATGGATGGATGGATGGATGGAAAGATAGATGATAGATCGAGAAATAGATGTGGAGGTAGAGACATGTAAAGATGAATGGATGATGGATGAGATAGATATGTTGTATAGGTATGGGTATAGATGTATAGATAGAGATAAGAGACTAAAATGAGAGATGGGTGAACAGGAAGATAAGTAGATAGATGGATGGATGGATGGATGGATGCAATAAGAGATGATAGGCAGACAGATAGATGAGTTGGATGCATGAGTTAAATCATAGATAAGAAATAGATGAGGTGGATAATTAAACAAAACCCAAAACAAACCCACTTCCATTGCATCGATTCTGACTCATAGCAACCCCCATTGGGTTTCCAAGGCAGTAAATCTTTCTAGAAGTAGATTACCCTGTCTTCCATCTATGGAGCAGCTGGTGAGTTTGAACTGCCAACCTTCTGGTTAGCAGTCAAATGCCTTAGGCACTGTGCCACCAGACCATCTTAGATAACTAGATGATAAGTAGTGGATGAGAGAGACAGACAGACACACAGAACAGAGAGGTTTATATGTACACACCATGCATGCTGTTGGCAACGATTTTCATTTTACCTTTCAACACTAGAATGGTGACAGAATTTTGTTCGACTGGCATTCCCGTTGACTTTATTCCTTGACAGGGATGGTATGCGTGCCTGTATTGCTTGGGTCCCAGCAACCCATCGCATGAACCCCAGAGAGTCTCCTGGGAGCAGTAGTCCCTTCTGTCCTCTGACATCTTAGTATACAGCTATCATTTTTTTTTTTTTTTGAAGACCTCACTAATTTAGTGGTACAATGAACATTTTATAAGAAATTTTCATAGGTATTTAAAATAATTGCTGAGTTATTGAGCATGCCTTCTTTTTGCCTCAGGGATAGTTGCTCTGAGTGAGGACTCATTTTTACTTTCAACATTCAAGGATGGAAATTAAGTTGGTTATACAAATTTAATTTTGAGGAAGTTTCACTGAAAAGCATCTATCCCAGAAGGTAGGGTAAAAAATGCTTGTAGTTTTCTATGTCGTCTTATTTCCTGCCTATTGAATAGGTTAGTTCTTTTTATATTTATTCAGTTTCCCTTTTTTTGCAATCAGTCACTTAACTTTTGTGATCCGGTAGCGTGAGTAGACAAAAGTCTAGTGTTTGTGGAAAAGCCGGGCTGAACCAGTAGGCACCTATAATTGCAAAGGTTGGCTAATAAATACAGAGAATTGCCTTACTTTTCCTGGGGCTTAGAAGCGGGCATTGAACTCAGAGTGTCTTTGGGACTAAGGAGGTGCTGTGTGGTGTAACTATTCACCTAAAGGCTGGAAATCCAAACTGACCCAGCACCACCACCTAAGGAAGGCCTGGAGATCAGCTTCTGTAAAGATTTCAGCCCAGATAATACCGTGACGCTCAGTTCTGCTCTCACAGACAAGGGGTGGAGTGGGCAGAATTGATTGGAAGGCAGCTGGTTTCATTAGGATTGTGCTTGCAGTTTGCCTCATAAAAACCAAACTCACTGCTGTCAAGTCTATTCCAGCTCATAGCAACCCCCATTGGGTTTCTGAGGTAGTAAATCTTTATGGAAATAGATTGGCCCATCCTTCTGCAGAGTGGCTAGTGTGTTTGAACCGCCTGCCTTCTGGTTAGTAGTCAGATGCCTTAGGGGCTGAGCCACCAGAGCTCCTATTCGCCGCATAGGAACCTCATTTTTCATTCCACTTGTGTTTGCCATGGAGTCCCTGGGCACATGCGTAGCTGCTAACCACAAAGGCGGTGGTTCCAGTCCACCCAGAGGCTGCTTGGAAGAAACTCCTGGGGATCCCCTTTGGAAAGATGAGCCATGGAAAAGCCCATGCTGCTCAGTTCTGCCCTGAGACACACCGGGCACCGTGAGACAGAGCGGACAGGATGACGGCCCGTTGTTCAGCACGGGATTCAAATGTCTTCTCTGCTTGTCTCCTCAGGCAAGTGGCACCTGGGGATGAGCTGTGCCAGCAAAGCGGACTTCTGCCACCACCCACTGAGCCACGGTTTCGATCACTTCTACGGGCTGCCCACCAGCAACATGCGTGACTGCAAGCCGGGGGCGGGGACGGTGTTCACCACGGGCATCCGGCTGCTGGCCTTCATCCCCCTGCAGGTCATCGGCGTGGC